ATAGATATTTTAAAGAAGAGAGGTCTATGGCAGACACAACTGAATAGTTGCAAAACCTTGCCTAAACCTTGATTTAGTGGTGCATAAAGACCTCACATGTTTTTTAAAAATTGGTAATCTTTGATCCTACATGCAAAGGTTATACCTCTGTAGGTATACAGCATTTTTATAAATTGCTTTCCAGGAGTGGGAATAAAAGAACAAGCTACAGAAATGTTACAATTATGATAGATCTCGGGCTTTAATAATCAACAGAGATTAGTGACCCAACAGGTTTTATGTTGAGTGACTTTAAGATTTGAAGCCATAGACTTCCATTTCCATGACTAAATGCCTGATGATGCTAAAACGTGTGCGAAGAAATTTAGGAAGTTGAAGACATCAATTTATAAAATTGTCAGAATAAGGGAAGAAGTGTCCTGCACACTGATGAGATTCAAGGATTTTTGATATTAGGCCACACAATTTATGGTGGAGTACAATTTAGAGGACCAGAATTGGTGAGTTATATCAATGCAAAGGAAATTTAAAGCTTAAGAGTTGCTGAACAAGCATAAATTTTTCCAGAATCCCAAGGGGTCACGTGCACTCTTAATGTTAGTAAAATGAAAAGTGAAAAAAGTCCTGCCGTGAGAGTCCTTGGGTGATACACATAGCTAATGTGCTCAGCTACTAACATAAGGTTGGAAGATTTGAGGGTTGGAAGAATTCAAGCCCATTCATGGTATCTCAAAAGAAATTTCTGACAATTTATTTTCCTTAATAAAAGCAACTATTGAAAACCTTATGGATCACGTTTATGCTCTGGTACACAATTCCACAAGTTGGAATAAACTCCCCAGCAGCTGATGGTGGTAGGTGTGGTGGCAGTACTTTCAAAGAGGCTTCAGGTTAGAGGTCTAGGACAACCATTTGTGGTCCAGAACTGATATTGTAGGGTGGGGGATATATACCATAGATGAAGCTTTTATTGTGGACATGAATGGGGAAAAGTGCTCTGTTTTATATGAGGATATTCTTAGACTCAACCTAGCATCCATATGTTGATTATGTTTTCTAATACACATCACATTCATGTGAGTTGGTCATCAACAGCATTTCTCTGGCAACTTAACACCGATCCCAAG